GACCTCATACCATACATGATAAGATTTACTTTAGTTGCTCGAATCTACATTCAAACAGATTAATGAGAATAAACGTTATTAGTAATAATCCAATATAGCTGACAACTAGTCAAATTCAGTACTTTTATTGAAATGACAAAAACTATACTTTTCTATGAATTTAGTATTGTATCGCAACCTGTGACGTCATCATATTTCGGCGTAGCATAGGTACTTATTCAATTAAAATTAGCAAGAAAAACATCGAAAAGTAAGTAAATCGTCAAATCAATGTAGTATTGAGACGAAGACGATAGTAAGATTTTTTTTTAAATTATTTTTGCATTGAAAAGTTAAGATAATTTATTTCAAACCTATGAAACGACCCAATATAGCATGCTTCTTTGAAAGTATTACTTTCACTATCTCACACCAAATGTCCTTCTATGCTATCGTGGGTAAATTCCTTTCCTCTTGGATTCACGTTCTATTTTGAGCTATTTTATTAAAGATAGTTATTACAATGGGTTCTTAGTGGTAACACCATTAGAGTGATGACGTCAAATAGACGATACTAAAGACATTTGCTCGTAAACTTCACATTTATAACCTGCTACTTTAATAGTTCTATCACTTAAAGTTCAAGTTCACAGTGGCATTACGTTTGAGTTAGTTGAACTAGGTGACTTTATGTAACGAACACATTAATATGAGTCATGTGAACGACAATTGGAGTGAAATAATTTCTTTTAGAACGAATTATGAAATCTTCTATGACACTGACAGTTTAATAAGATTTTGAGTCTATTAATGAGTCAGATGTGGTTTGTTGACAAAGAGATAATGATGATTATAAGTAGGTACCTAGTAGGTACTAGGTCTAGCTTTGTAGTCATATATCCTAAGTAATATATTATAGAACTTCTTCTAAGTAGAACAGATTCTAAGTAATATATTATACTTACCATGTCAAACGATATTGTTAAGCTTTTGCCAGCTGCTTCGCCCGCGTTCACGTGGAATAAAAAGTAGCCAATGTGTTATTCTAGACCATAAAGTAACCCCGTTGCAAATTTTATCCCAATCCCTTCAGCCGTTTCGACGTGAAGAAGTAACAAACTAACATAATAAACTTTCACATTTATAGTATGGGTAAAAATATAAGTAAAACCGAGTATATGGGTATAAAGGTAGGGTAAAGAGTTCTTTAATTAAGTTTTTGGGCATAAAAAATGAAATGTGGATTGTTGTCGATAATGATGATGTATTTACTAGAATGGTAATAATACCATGTCATCATATATTGTCATTGTTTTTGAAGATATATATAATTATAAGTTATCTACAACACAAAACAATACATTATATAAATTAGGAGTCCAACAAAGCGACCGAAAACAATTTTAATTTAAATATTTGTCAACTCATTCAATTGAGTATGACCGTCACAATGGTTTTGCAAATATTCAGGGATGCAAACAATTCAATCCGGAAATATTTGTAACCCATATGAATATAGCTATATTTTATAGGGGTAATGGTTGGGGTTGTATATAAAGTTACCATTGTATAAATTATGAGCCCATTTTTAGGTTTATCGGTAATCTATAAATTGCGTTTAATTAATACCTACACCTAGTCAGTGGAAAATGTGACGAAAATGAAAATGTATTGTAATTTTTAAATAGTCCTTAACTTTATTTTTAGATACACTTGAACCTTGCTTGCTATTTATCTAAAAATACATCTCGGGCAAGGTTGTGTTGTTCTAAATGCTACATTTCGCTTACTTTATTACTATTACTTTTCTAGAGTTGAGTCTCTTATGAAACAAGTGGTTTTGAATTGTGCCCATACTATATCTAACAATAACTTTTCCGGATCACAATAACCTCACCAACAACATCTTACCAATGAGTTTGGTTTCAGGCTACATAATCAAACAATGAAAATTTTAAGATTATTAGACAATCAAAATAGCACTTTTCCGGACCAAGAAATTAATCAGCTCTGCTGCAGCACTAGGGACTCTTCCAATTACTCCGTCAAAAGATTACCTCATATACCTACATAAAGGTGCACAAGGAGTTTTTTTTGTCTATAATATTTTCCCTTCAGACAGGTTCATTGTTCACTCTTATTCTATTTACCATCACTTCCCGTTAACGTCAGACATTGTACTCAGTGCACACTCGACCCTCATCACTTTCAATTTTTAATAATATCCGTGGAACATTGACTTCAATACGGCCGCCATAAATGTCACGTGACTGCGTTACCGGGTATTGGATGTCAAACAATATAACAACACATGAGGACGTCATAATATGGTTTTGTTAGAAGTGTCAGCAGAGGTTTTCGGTAGGTAAATGAGATACCTACCCGCTTTTTGTTTAGAAATAAATTGGATTTAACACATTTAGAAAGCTAGCT